CCGGGGAGCCCGGATGCGGGGCGCTTTGCAATTAGTCGGTCACGCCTCCGAGCCGTGGTTTTCACTTTGGGGTTTTGTCTTTTTTTTTTCCCCTCCCCTCTTTTCCTGACTGCTGTAGGATAAGTCAAAAAAATTGCAGATGTGAATGTTATAGTGTAATTATGCCACACAGCTTAAAGGCATAATCGCTCGTATATCAGGTTTTAAAATACAAACCGAATAAATTTCTTACTATACATTTCTGAATGACGCTGACAGGCACTTTTACCAAAATCGGGTGCGCAACTGACGGGAACACAGAGAACCTCAAAGAATGACAGAGCCGCTCTCTGGAAACACTCGAACTCCACGGCCACAGACAGAAAAGAATAGTTCAATTTTGGCTCGGTGAAAGCCCAGATTTGAGGATTTTTAATGTATAAAACACCCCAAAAGAATTTTGGCCAAGACTCAAATACCTTTCAAAAAGGTCAAAACACAACTGGCTCTAAGTTTGTCTATCCTAGTGCAAGCGAGTAGTAAAAATTCTGCTTTTCCATAACTATGTTCAGTAGTAGAAGGATGTCTCACAAGATTAATAGAGATTGCCTATTTTAGCCCCCTCGTTACTAAAATCTGCTGCTAGAAATACCATTCCCTTTCATTTAGATGAGATGCCTGAATATCTCGCTAGTGTCAATATTTGCCTGTTTCCAGTTTATGTTCATAGCCGCCATTGATCTAAGCAAACAGGTGACAGCCTTAACCGTATTTTACACTCTCTCCCTCTCCCACTCCCTCTTCCTCCCTTGAAAAAGTTATTTCCCCGAAGCTGAAAAAAGTGAATTTGGGAGAAAAATGTACAGGCGAAGAGGGGAATAAAATAGAGAAGTTTACAGGGAAATATGGTGGGTTGCCAAGAAGTCTACCATCAAGGAAGAGGATAACTTTCCTTGAAAGCCCATTACTGGAGAAGTAATATCTCTCAGTGTATTCTCAGTATATAATACTGAGAAGAAAAAAATTACCATGTAGAACTACCATTGAGAGATGAAAGTAGATGGCAATCAACATTAATTAGAAAGTGTTGAGATTTCATAAGAGAAGCAAAAGCCGTAAGGGGAAAATCCATGCCTGGAAGGGCTATGGACAATAAAGCTTTTATATATTTGGAAGAGTAAGGAGTATTATTAGAAGAGAAGGCAAAAAAGGTATAAATGATCAATAAATATTTCAGGTTTATATTTGGAAAGAAAGGGAGGATGTGTTTGCCAGATTATTGACTCATAAAAGTGACATTAAGAAGCACCTCCTAAGAACATACAAAAACCAGCAGACCTGGAGAAATGGCACACATGAATCTCAAAAGAGTGGGCGGGAAGGCGGAGAGAATAACCAGCTCTCTGACACTACTTCAAGTAAATCTTGGCATAACAGGAAAATCTTGAAGGATCGAGTGTTCAGTTTCCTGATAAGATCCAGAAAAACTAATTATGGTGACCAGGTAGTTACAGATCGGTTAGCCTAACGTTAACCAACCCCAAGAAAGACAAGAGAGAAAAAATCCAACGTATGGATAAAGTTTGTTTTTATGGGAAGTGGCCTGCCAAGCAAACAGGATTCATGTTTTTGTGAGGAAATTATCAGTGTGGTTGGTAAACTCACACAGCCGTGGCCATAACAGGTTTTTGAAATGTGTGTTTTTCAATGATACATGACATTCTCATTACACGTGTAACCTATTAAGGACCAGATAAGATAAACTTAGTTGGAACAGGATGTGTTTTAATAGAGCTCAATGCAAAAATATGACTCCAGGTAACCGAAACTGCCAGCCACTCTGGAGCAGAACCGGGGAGCGTGTGGTTTACTCTGCACCCAGGGAAGGATTTTGGGGGTCAGAGTAGGAAGGAATTGTTCTATACTCCTAGGGAAAAGGGGCCTAAAGAGGATGCAGCTATCCTCAGACGTTTCAGAGGAGTAACAAGTAGTAGTAGGGAAGCGATTTTCTCTCTGCGTGAAGCATCAGTGAGAGATATTGGAAGCTGTCCAGTTTTGGTATCTGCGTTTTTAAAAGGATATTGAAATACTACAGAAGGTTAAGAAAGGAACCCTAAAAATAATTTGAAGTAATTCCTCTTCAGGGAGAGATTTCAGGTGCCCAATCTATTCCGCTTTTCAAGAAAAGAGGCGATATGATTACATTGTGTAACTACCATCACAGGGATATAACAGCAGGTACTAACAGGCTCTTTAAGCTAGTGGATAAAGGCATAACAAAGACCAAAGTTTAAACTCGACAATGCAATTTAGAGCAAAAGTAGCTGATTAAACAGTGATTGTCCATAGGAGAAAATTCAGAAGTGAGACTGTCCTGGGAAGTGAAAGACAATCTACTCTTATATTGAAATTAAACAAACAAACAAACAAAAATACGGCTGGAAAGCATGCTTTATTTAAGCGCAAGATATGAAATTCTTCACGATTAATTTATAATCTAGTGGTCGCTTCTCAACTTAAAAGTACTCCCGAATAAAAACAACGGAATATTTGATTACTTTTGTTGCTGAAAGCTGAACTACAATTGACCAGGTCAATGCTTTGACTTTTAATCACCCAGTTTGATGTAATAGTTGATGCTGGTTCTTCCCATATTATTTGTTTCTTTTCACTGGAACACCTGAGGTTCTCCCTTTGCCTGGCTCCCCAGAGCTCTGTTCTGGTCCTGGCACAAGAACGCTGTACTTTCAATGATCATCCAAGCAGCTGTAAACATGTTTCCTCTCAGGCCAGCAAGACATTTGCCACCACCTTACCCTAGCCTATGCTCTCACCTTCAAAAAAACCAAACCCCGTGACTTGTGTCCCGCTCCAGCCTCCACAGAGGCATACAAGGCACTCATCCAGCATGACCACAAATCACCTTGCCTGGATTACAGTGAAAAGCACTATCTACTTTTATATACTATTGAAAATCATTTTACAGTGTCTGTAGCATTGGGGTGGGGGGGTATATCTCTGAATTCTGGATGTTATTTATGACCTTAATAATATATTACATATTCTCCTCCCCGTTTTCCACGCTTCTGAAGTGAGAATAATTCCAGCTGAACTATACCTTGAAGAAATTTACAAGACCATCATATTCAAACTTGAGTGTGTGAAATGTGGTCAATAAGTAGAAGAGAAGTGACATGTGGGGAACTCCAGCTGCAGATTCTTGATATACAGAAACTCAGAAGCTGGATTTAGGTAACAGCTGATAATGAGCAAATGACACACTGAAATTCACTACATGACTACCTCTAGTATGTGCCACAATACTTTGTTACATTGCCCTTTCACAAGATAAAATTCATTAGTTTATACCCTTTTTGGTTTATAAGGTAACTTGTTATGCTTAGATTGTGCTGGATTATGTGTCTGTACCCAAAATTTCAAACGCTCTCAAAGGCAACGGCTAGAAATTGCTTCAGTTAAAGACAAGGAATCTCCCCCAGGTTGCTAAGCCGCTCTGTTATGGAATCCCATGGTATTTTGTAGACCTCTGTCTCAGCCTGTTGGGACAATCATTGCCAAGAGGTAAAATGGCAAAAGGTTTAAAAGCTAGGCTTTTAAAGACTAGGCTGCCTAAATTCTGCTGAAGTAGGGATTTACCTGGAAGTTAGGAATCTTAATCCAGAAGAATACTGAAGATGGCATTGCAGGGTATTGAAAAAGCCTAAATTAGGTGCATTGGCTTCCTTTCCCATTAATGGAAAGATCCTCCAGCAAGCAATTCAAAGCATGCAAACTTGATGCCTTATTGTATATAGGACCTAGATACACCCAAAGGTCAGCGATTCTGTGTTGAGCTGGGCACAGGCAAAAGCAAACCTGTGGAAAATACACACCACAGGGCAGGTGAGAAATCCCACCTCTCTCTCTACGCTCAGGAGGTTTTGGTCGGCAGCTCAGTTCCCTCTGCATTGAGTGTGATGAGTGCCCACAGGGGTAGGACCCCAGCAGGCGCAGGCTGGGGTTAGAGCTAACTTCAGTGCAGCCTGAAGGTTTCCTGATGCTGATGGACAGCAGGAAAAGTTGACTGAAATACAATCTCTCTGCAGGTGCTCAGGAAAACGAGTTCTTTTGCCTTCCCTAGCTATGAGACTGAAATTGATTCTTGTTTACAGCTGGAGAAGAACAGGAGATGTTAACACCGGGAGACCACACAAAGGATAAAGAGATACCATCGCCTCACCCATTTGCTGCCGATACTGTGCTTTGAGTTAAAAAAACCCAGCAAGTTTGTTCATTTAGAGAGTTAATTGAGCAATACATCTTTTCTTGACCTAACTGACATTGTTAATACTCCATCCATCTTCCTATTCATATGCTAATAGCTATATTGCC